GGTTGAAGAAAATGTTTTAATTTTCTTCTCACATCAGAAAAAACCGAAATGTTTAGGGCCCACGAAAATCTATTACATTTTGCCTAAAACAGAAAAAAATGAAATGTTGAAGTATTTTAGTTATATCAAAAAATATTTTAATATTGGTATTATTATAGTGGGAGGAGCCCGTGAAAGCAAAAGTGCTTAGGGCCCATGAAAGCCATAATGCTTTCACCTTCCATTGTTATAGCCAAGGAGGTAAGTCACAGTTAAGGTTAATACGCTTACTCCAATAAGCTTTGCTGACATACGAGAAGAAAACATGAACTGGGTTAGAAAACATTCTTCACAGGGTTGCCAAGAGCCACTGTGGGCCCGTGGACAAAGATTACCCATGAGTCCCCCATATGACCCTGATTCAAACCAAATATGACAAATCACTTGTTTATTAGCTAAGTCCCTTTTGTGGTGGGGGATGCCCACTAATGGTGTTTTGGCTGAGTACTTCTCCAGCTTGACTATTTTTAAGCATCGGAGGGCATTTATGTCAGCTCGTGTTAATGTTCTTCCCTCTGCGGTACTGTACAGGAGGTTTAAAAAAATGCCATACTCCACTAGGCTTTGTTCTTACGGTCTGGGGGAGATAGAAAGTACTGAACATAAGAAACGCCAATGTTGGATCAGGCCAAAGACCCATCCAGCCCAACACTCTGTGTCACACAGTGGCCAGAAATACCAGGTGCCATCAGGAGGTCCACCAGTGGGACCAGGACATTAGAAGCCCTCTCACTGTTGACCCCCCCCCCAAGCACCAAGAAGACAGAACATCACTTGCCCCAGAGTCCCTATCTATACCTTGTGGCTAATAGCCACTGATGGACCTCTGCTCCATATGCTTATCTAATTCCCTTTTGAAGCCGTCCATGCTTGTAGCTGCCACCACTTCCTGTGGCAGTGAATTCCATGTGTTAATCACTCTTTGGGTGAAGAAGTACTTCCTTTTATCCGTTCTAACCCGACCGCTCTGCAGTTTCATGGAGTGCCCACGAGTTCTTGTATTGTGAGAAAGGGAGAAAAGTACCTCTTTCTCTACCTGCTCTTTCCCATGCATAATCTTATAAACCTCAATCATGTCACCCCTCAGTCGTCGTTTCTCCAAGCTAAAGAGCCCTAAGCGCCTTAACCGTTCCTCATAGGGAAAGTGTTCCAACCTGACAGATCCCTTTGGAGTGCCTCACAATCCTCACTGGTTTTCACCACCCTGAACAACTTCGTATCATCTGCAAATTTAGCCACTTCACTGCTTACTCCCAACTCCAAATCATTAATGAACACGTTAAAAAGCAGTGGACCAAGTACTGATCCCTGCGGTACCCCACTGCTTACCACCCTCCACTGAGAAAATTGCCCATTTATACTCACCATAAAAGGATTTGTCCTTTTATCCCATGATTTTTGAGCTTATTTAGGAGCCTTTGACGAGGAACTTTATCAAAAGCTTTCTGGAAGTCAAGGTAAACAATATCTATTGGATCCCCCTTGTCCACATGTTTGTTCACCCCCTCAAAGAACACTAAAAGGTTATCCCGCACTATATATTTTACTGTGATATTCGTGCTATATATCTAGAACCTCTGCTACAAATTCGCAAGGGTCAATCTGATGTTTGCAAGACGGTTTTTTCACTATCTTCCCATAACTCTGAGATCACTGATTTGGTGGCTAAATTTCTATGTTGTGCCACTAAGAGGAGAGGAATGTTTCAACTCCAGCAATGAAGGTTGTACCCTTTATCCCTTGATGATCTACGTTTTGTTGTGAAGCCAATAAAGGTAGCTGATGATGATATTAGCTAAGAAACAGTAAAAGTCAAGGGACAGGATTATTAAAAAAAGATTTTACTTGATATATGATTTACACTGTGTAGATTACAATAGGATAAACTGCAAAAAGAAAGGAGGAAAAGAGCAGGCAGAATCAGAAAGACTCCCCACCCAAGGAAACTAGCCCAAATACTGAAGTGTGTTATAAATTAAATGCAGATGAAACACAAACCATCTGAGAATAAATCCCATTTAAACTAAGTGAGACATCAGTCTCTCTCAAGAAGTATTGAACCGAAAAAAAATACTTTAAAGTATTTCTACCCAGCCAAAACAAACAAAGAAAAAAGCAAGCTAAAGATGCTTAATGGGGGGAAAAATGGGGAAGATGTGAAAAGTTGGTTGTATCCTCCATAGAGAGGAGGCACATCAGCCAAGTCTCCACATACATATTTTAGGAAATATCTACATGGAAACAAGAAACACATCACTAACTTCAACTACAAAGAACAGCTTGTAGCTTAGTCTATGATGAATAAATGTTCGTTTTAAAATATTTAAACACCATCTATTCCCAAAAGAGTCATGGAATCTAAGACAGATAATTGATCAAACATTTACATAAGATCAATGTGAAAAAAATACAGTAAAATTTTAAAAATCTACCAACTCCATGACAAACACATATACACCACCAACATTTTCTATAACAATGCAAAAACCATCAGATCTACCAAACACCATCAGCTCCATCTTGTATGGATTAAGTTTCAGCTGCTTCTCTCACACTCACTTGATTACCTCTTGTACACAACAGTTTGAAACAGAGACAGCTGCATCCGGAGGCTTAGCTAAAAGACATAGAGAACTGGAGATTCATGACTGTATTAACAACAGTCAACGCTAAAGGCCCTGATGATCGAAGTCATAAGTTTAACTCAAGGGCTGTATCCTGTTAGGTTTCAGGGAAATGCTGCTTTATGGATTTCATTTTAGGCTTCTGCTGTTTTTAAACCTCTAGCTTGTTTTAAACACTGATAACTTACATCGTTTGTATGTTTTTTATCACATTGTTTTTACTTGTGAGCTGTCTCAAACAGGTCTTTGGAGAGGCAGAGCAAAATTATTTATTAATAAGTAAATAAAACACTGATCTGTAAATGTTGAACAGAATGAGGGTAAGCTACAATTTAAAAACCAGGTCTTCCAATAACCGTTTTTTCCAATAACCATTTTATGTGTCTTACCAGATAAAAAACATTAAAATCAACAAAGTGGTACATCAATACCCCCCCTTACCAGTGTAATAAGATACCATGATCAATTATATCAAAAGCAGTAGATAAATCTAACACCACTATTTCATTTTTGGCAAGAAACTAAGAGGCATGAAATACAACTGAGCAATCACATTAAGAGAACAAATGGGACTGACATTTCAGCAGCCGGGTCAAATATGGCATTTAATCAAACAAGAACTAATAGTATATATCAAATTACAGTGTACTCCTGAAGAGAGTTAAACTCTTCTAAGTCCTCTGAAGTCAACTGGCTTAAAAGGATGCAACTTTGCTCCAGATTGCTCTGTTAGTGACTTTGTTATGCACGGCACAATGAAGCTGATATGATGAAAATGTGAAAACTGAAAAGAAAACAAGTGTTGCAGTTGTATATATTAACTTTTAAAGGATATGGGCAGGAACAGTGAACTTTAATTCAGGAAAGCTGCACTCCAATTTACTCTCAAAATATGAGATATCAGGGAGCTTTGGTCTCTGTTTATATCAATTTCTAAAGTGGGAATTATGGTGATCTATCTTATGGGGTTGCTAGAATGGCAAACAAGATCAAAAAAGGAAGATAAAAGTATTCCCATAACTTTCCAAGAAAGACAAAACAAAGACAGTTCATACTGGTGATATTGTTTATCAATATTCCAGGGCTGATCAGTCAAAAGAAAGGGGAAAATAATATGTTGGGTTTCTCACCTCTTACCAAGACATAACTTGAGTGACTAAAAGACTTGCTGCCTGTCTTGGCTCCCGTTTCCATCTAGAATCATAGAACTGGACCTCATCTTTCCTAGCAACCACTATACCAAGCAGGGCTATTTTGGGGCAGGAACACACAGGAATGGAGTTCTGGCTGGTGTCTGAGTTGGCCACGCCAACTGCAGCAAAACCACTGCGTGCGTGGCTACAGAGGGAAGGCCTGTCCAAGGGCCGGCTTGCCCAGGGTCCCAGCAGCCGCGGGGCGCCCAGGCAAGCCAAGGGAATGCCGTTTAAACTGCCTCTCCTCCGAGGGCCAGCTTGCCTGGGCTCCCCGCAGCTGCAGGGTGCCCGGGCAAGCCAAGGGAAGGCATGGGTGTGTGGCCTAATATGCTAATATGCTGTGCTGTCAGGGCATGGCGTAATATGAAGAAGGAGAAGAGATTGGATTTATACCCCACCCTTCACTACCTAAAGGTGTCTCAGAGCAGCTTACAAACTCCTTTCCCTTCCCCTCCCCACAACAGACACCCTGTGAGGTAGGGGGGGCTGAGAGAGCTCTTGACAGAAAATGCTCTTTTTCAAGAACAGCTCTTATCAGAACTACGGCTTGCCCAAGGTCATCCAGCCAGGTGCAAGTGGAGGAGTGGGGAATCAAACTCGGTTCTTCCAGTTTAGAGTCCGCACACTTAACCACTACACCAAACTGGCTCTGCTAATGAGTTCCTGCTGTTGGGTGTGGCCTATTATGCTAATGAGGTCCTGCTGGGTTTTTTCTACAAAAAAAGCCCTGATACCAAGGATTACTGCCTCAGATGGAGAAAAGAAGAAGAGTACTGACTAATGAAGGAGACAGATGGAAATTTTCCACTCTAACAAGATTAGTGCTGGAAAACAGAACAGACAATTAAAACATGCGTTTCAGTGCCTCTGGGCAGGAGAATCTGTATTTACCACACAGCTCAAATCTTATAAATTGTATACATTATTTCTATTATCTTAATATTTTCTGTGATAGAACCATGCAAAAATGAATGCTCATGGTTTGGATTGTTGACTTTGGATTGTTGGCTATCAGCTATACTGTAGTCAAATCCATTGAAGGAATGACTTCCTTTAAATCCCTTGGTTTGACTGTAGCACAGTTCTTATCATCCCCCACACTGTAGTTATGAAAGTAAACCAAATGAATACAACAGTCCTCTACCTCAATCTGTGTAGCATTGTCATGTGTGTCATCAAGCAGAAGATCTGTGAAACCTCCAGGTTCTGAGGAGTCCTGCCCCATACTGGCTCTGTTGGTGTCCACTGGCTTGAGAGACTCTGAACGTCGTTTCCATCTGTGGCTGTATGTGTAGGAATCCACATGTACATTCTCCTCCACTTGTGGGAAGTTCTGAACCATTTCATAAAATGAACCTGTTTGACAAAGAGACTATTTTTAAAAAATGCTCAAATGGTACGATCAAAGAACTACACTCTCTCATAATTATTTTATAGTGTCCATCCATCAATCTACATGGGACTTCACAGTATAACAAACAAGACAATCTTTACTGATTTATTACACCAATATATTATGCCCATCAGCATCAGGTTTATGTGGGTATTTTTAACACTCCTGTACATCTGATCAATGGCACACAAATAAATTAACTTAATTACTGTATAGAGTTTATACAGAAGACAAGGCGATCCTGATGTTAAGGCAGGGAGTCAAAGAACATCTCTTACCCAGCAGAATTTTTGGCCTTTTTTTTTTTTTTTTGCATTCACTTGGCTTGAAGATTTGATATGTGTATGAAACTCCCTTCAGTTTCAAAAAGGGGATTTGTGAAATGGCATGGGTTACAGACAGAACAAAAATTGCTATAAATCATTTTTACATCTCTTCAAGGAGAGGCACACTTTGTATTAGGGCCTACACTTTAAAATGGCACGGATCCTGCCTAGAATTTCTGCAGGCACAGAAAGCGGAAATAATTTTTGCCAATTTCTCCACCCTGTGGCAGCCCAAAATGCTACCCCTACTCTTGGGGAGCAGGGGACCCCCAATACTAGCTACTATGGAGAGATATCAGAGCTCTCCAGCAACAGTGAAAATTACTTCCCTTCATTAAGTTTATGGAAATTTTAGGGGTGATCCAAACTAATATATCAAATTAACAAAAAAAACCCATACCATTAACCAGATGTAACAGGATGTCATAGCAAGGCAGCAAGACTCAGAGATCTTACTTTCAGTCATTTTCATACAAACTGATGAATTATGATGACAGGTGAGCTCTTCATGGGTCTCACTTCCACATGCCTTAACCACTTAAATAAACAAGCATGGGTCTTTTTGGGCAACTCCCTATTTATACAAATGTTGAACTCAATAACGTTATGATCACTGTTCCCAAGTGGTACAATCACTTTTACTTCTCTCACCAGTTCTTGGGTGTTACTTAGGGCCAAATCCAGGATCACCTATCCCCTGTTGGGCCCTACTTTCCTCATAAACATACCCCTCATCCTATAGTCACCTTTCAGCTTCTGTTTCTCAACAGCCTAAAGACCCCACATCAAAACCTGAAGATAGATTTCGCAGTAGACCTTGCCTAAGGACCATCTCAACCTTATTGTCCCTGAGAGGCAAAGAACCAATCAGATTCTACAGGGCTGTATTGATTCCAGGAACAAAAGAGGGTAAGCACACCTCCCTCCTGTATGGGACTTCTGTCCTTGCTAGTGGAAAGACCTGTGCTGTACTCAAATGCCTGATTTGACTAACCTGTTACAGCCTTCCTCTTGAATAAGTTGGTACTATTCTATCTGAACTGACCATCTATGCAATCAGCCAATGTTTATGGTAAGCAGTTTACAAAGCCAGATTTCCCCCCACAGCTTCCACACAGTGATACATAATATTCGGATCAGCGCTCATAGATCTTGAAGCTGTTGTTCCGTACAGTTAAATGGGAGTGAAATCATCTTACATTCCAAAGAGAGAATGAAATGAGATCACAAGATGCTGGTTCAGAACTTCAGAAAAGCAACCTTGTTTTTAAAATATATATTGTACTTGTGAAATTCTGTCAATGAGGACAACCAGAGAAGTGCACACCAGCTGTAATTATATCATGGCGAGAAAGTGGCTGTAGCAGATTCAGAAGAACTGAGTACAGTCTTCACGCTATAGCACTGGCCATCAGTTTATTGAACATCATGTCAAATCCTGGATCAACACTTCTCTGCAGTAAATTTTAATACGGCTGAATACTTCCCAGATCATGGTCATCTACAGAAATAGGGTGCCAACAAATTGCATTTCTTAACCAAGAGCTGAAGTGCGTCCTTTTCCCTAGAAAGCCTACAATTCTTCCCTTGAATAAATTGCTGTAAATTTCTCTGTTTGATATAATTTTCAGCTGCCTCAGAGAGATGGGCAGCTCAGTGGAATATGTTATCAAACTGCCATTCTCAAATCCATCCAAAGCTGCCACTCCCCCGAGGAGCTCATCACAACACTGAGAGCATAAATAGGGGCTTTGGGTCACAAAATGCTGACAGATATGACAGTGTTAACAGGCGTGATCACTGATACACTTGGTGCTCGCAGTGCACCTCCAGATTTCTTGTATGTAGAATAGAGGCCCAAAGCCAAGAGTGTGGCAGATAAATGAATATACTAAGAGCTATCTAATCAATAGCCTGGGAGAGAAGCTTTTTTCCTGCTGTGTCTTTCTTCCACCCTATCCTTAATGCACACATTCTGCGATGTGTCTTCTTTCTGTCGCTCACCTTCCCTATCTTGCACACATAGTGCAAGAGATAGCTTTTCCCCTTGTGTGTTTATTGGAAATGAGGCCCATTGAGTTTGATGGCATTAATCCCAAGTAACTATGTGTAGGGTCACAGCCTTACTTGTTTACCTTCACCTATAATTAGCTCTGCCTAGGAAGGAAGAAGACCCTATTGCTGAACTTTTGCATCCCATCCGGCTCTTAGCATCTTTAGGTACCTTTGCAAAAAAAAAAAAAAAATGTAATCATTCACTCCCGAAGCTACTGCCAAGAATGATTAGGAAACAGGCACATTCTGTAATTTGGCACCACAGAAACAATGTAGGGTACACAATAATCTCTTCCTGTCCTTGGTAGATGACCACCTGACTTTCCATTGCACCTGGATTCATAGACAGAAGACATGTCACCTTGACTTGCCTGGTCAATGAGCTTACAAGGACACCCAACTGGTTGGAGACATCAGAGTGGCAGGAAAAGGTGGGATTACTCAGAAGGGGTGGGGAATTTTGACAGCCTCTTGACATTCCAACAGGAGGGGGACAGGGAAGTATACCAACTTTCATGGCCTTTAAGTACAAAACTGCAAGCAGCATCCCAGCTTGACTGCCAGTCCAGAGGTGCTATATAAAGAGGACAGGCTGCAGGATTCCTTTCCCACCCAGGTGTAGGAACTTTCATCAGGATCAGTATTTGACTCCCATAATGAGGGCTGAACTATGTGTAGCAAAGTACATGAGTTCACCAGAGGGACTTGCAGCCATCCTGCAGCTGTGAGTTCCTGGTAGCAACTCCATTTAGAAGCAGTTCAGTAGTCTGATTCTGAATAGGACTGGGGGAGGGGTCCTGCCTTCCACGCATGCTATTTCCCACCCTAAAATGGCACTGGGAGCTGTCATTTGCCTCACTGGGGGCTCAGGAAAATGGTGTACTGGGAAAGACAAGAGCCCCTCTTCTCCGACAACACAGTCCCAATCAGAATTGCCCCTTGTGCTTTTTCTCAATGAAGTTGCCACCCGAAACTTGCAGCTGCAAAATAGCTGCCAGTCCCTGTGATTAAATTGTGTACCTTGCACTGTGAGGTCAAGGGCAAAAGTGGAATTTTGTTGAGAGTTTTTGTTGGCAGCATCCATCCCATAACCCACAATTTCTCTTTCCCAGCTAGTAGGCATCAGCTGCACAGCCAAAGCAATTGCAGAGGACATCTGGGAGGAGGAAATTTTCCTTCAATTCCTCATGGGTCACATATCTGTCTAGTCATAATTTTAAGTTTTCAAACAGTACAAGATTCTATCAGGACAAAATCAGCCTTCTTGATTACAAAGACACACAATTGTTTTACTTTGGAAATTAATCTAACCAGTCTCCAGATAAAATTATCCCTAAGTCTGACTCACAGGAAGGAGTTTTGAGTACGGAGTGCCTTTGAAGTGTTCGTTTTTATATATTCATGATATGTCCTTTTCCAGTGTCCTCTCACACATAGCAAGGCTAACATGGGCAGCACCAGGTTAATTAAAAATTGATGACAGATAACCTTGATTACCTCACTATGTATGCCTTTCAATTTTCTCATCTAGTGGCAGGTCTGTGCGGCAAATTAACATTTGGGAAAGGATGGGCTTTATGGATCTGAAGTTTTCAACTATCGCACATTCATGTCTATAGTGTGCAAATGGTACTTATTTTACCTTCCATTACTCAGATGTCACTTTAGAATCAGACATGAGAAAAGCACTCAAGTTTCTAGATGACCAAATAAGCCCTTTATGTTTTTTTCCTACCTGTTCTTCAAAAACATCCACAGAGTCCACGTGAAACTAAAGCCTCTCCTTCTGTCCCTGAGCTTATTCTGAGCATGTCAGCTGCAGTTTTGTGATCTTAATAGCTAAGCGCTGGTTTTAGAGGGTTTCCTGAAAAAGGAGTGCCAAAGCACAGTTCTTAATTTATTGACTTGTTCCTGTTGGATATAGTAGTAGGTATTACAATTTTCAATATGATGATAGTTCCAGAATGGCCATTACATTTTTGGATTGTATCAAAGGGCATAATTCTTAAAGATAGCAAGCATAATATTACATTTTTATCCTGCCCTTCCTCCTAGTAGTTCAGGGCAGCCCATATTTATTTTGTTGGACCATTTGTAATCTCCCTCTCCACCCCTGGAAAAAAGATTCTTTCTGTCTCACTTCTATCAACACAACAACTTTGTAGGGTAGGTTAGGCTGAGAAAAGAGTTACTGGCCCAGGGTCTCCCCAAGTGAGCATTACAGCAATTGACATTGGAACCCAGTTCTCCCCACTTGTAATCTCATATTCTAATTACTACACTATCCTGCCACATTGGATTACACAAAAACAAGCATACGCATACTGGATGTAGGATCTATATAAACCATAGCTAGCATCTCGAACACAAATCAAGCACAAAAAAATCTATTATATGAAGTGTAGTTTTTATGAGAATGCTACCACCAGCATATTACCTCTTGAGGTAAGGCAGCAGATTTGAAGTAGTGTCATTAGATTTGGGGGGTGGGGGGTGGATCCACAACATCATGCACAATTAAGACAAATGCACACACAACTGTGATTCCTCCCTGCATTAGACTACTTCTGAAAGATATCTGTAGTGTAAAGTATGATGTACAATAAAGTTTACTGCAGACCATGACACTCAAGCAATGCATACACCAATGGTTTGGATGGGCATTTGTGAAAACAACATATCTGCATTTGCACATAACTGTTCCAAAAGCAGTGCCAGTGCATGAGACAGCAGAAATTGACATCAGAATAAAGCGATATTCTTTCTACATCCTTAGCTTCTCCTCACTATTAACTTACTTAGTTTCTTCTATGTGATAAATGAATACAGCTAATGACCTCTTCTTGATAGAAAAGCTTTAGACTTGCATGAAATGTTATAAAGGACTTTGCTTGTTACCACCAAAGATCTCAGAGTTTGCACTCAATTAGCACTGCCGCATCATTCAATTTGACTTGGAAACTGCCAAATATTGTAAGCATGTCCAATGAATAGATCATAAAGAGAACATGCATGGATTAGTACAAACTTGTCTAGCAGTTTATGTGGACAACGACAGGACTGCAATAAAATTTTAGATATATGCCTCCTATATGCATTGCCAAATGCAAAAGGGTTTTGCTGTTTGTAATTCTTTTGCTTGCTGCCACACAAGAGGAAATATCCCATAAAGCTCTCTACAGCTCTCAACAGCAAATATTTCACAGCACTGTTTTGGAAAGAGAAAGATTAGCAGCAAGGGATTTTTATAATGAACACATAATTAAGCCTGCATTTTGCTCTAGTGATTTTAGCAGTTTTCCTTGAGGCTGGCATAAAATTAGAAGTAAAAGTGATTAGGTTTGCAGTTTTATCCCCCGCTTATGTTGAATTTAAATTTAAAATTGTGGGTGTTCTGTTGGACAAGGCTGAAAGAGGGGAGGGGAAATGGCAATCTCTTAAAGCTCCTGCGACTCTGAGATCAGTCAGAATTAATGAATGGTTGTTGGCTGCATTCAGGGCCACTTGTGGTTGCAGTTGATCAATTCAGCCCTCTCCAGTCAATGCAATCAATGAGAAGCACTAGAGCAGGATTTGGGAGGGGAGTGTGCGCATTATAATTCACTCAGGCCAGACAGGTCTAAAAAGAATACTTTAAAAGATGGAAAGAAACTGCCGTTAAAGACAAATAATAGCTGCCAGCTAGACCTCATTCTGTCTCAGAGGCATTTTGTGCCAAGTTACTTCCTGTAAAGCCTTGCACAAAACAATAGAAAACACACTCAACTGTGAAAGAAAAAAACCATTCCGTTTTACTAGATTAAGTTGAAAACAGCTTATTCTCCTAATTAAAAACAAAAAACAAGATTTTGTTTTTCAGAGCTTGGCATAAACTCTGCATTTATTACCTTAAATGTATACCTAATATTTGACATTAAAAATAGTTAAACTATGGTTGCCAACAGCCTAGAGAAAGAAATGTCCTTTTAATACCAACTTAATAGAATGTTAACTGCCAACCTAGCAGTTCGAAAGCAAGAAATTGCAAGTAGATAAATAGGTAACACTACAGTGGGAAGGTAACAGCGTTCTGTGCACCTTGGTGTTTAGTCATGCCGGCCACATGACCACGGAAACGTCTTCAGACAGTGCTGGCTCACAGCTTTGAAACGGAGATGAGCACCGCAACCCTAGAGTCGGATTCGACTGGCTTTCGAGCAAGGGAACCTTTACCTTTACCTTTAATAGAATGTTACTTACCAGGTAGAGTTGCCATTTGCCTCATGCCAATAGGGGAACCTGCTGGCACTCAGTGGGGCAGAGGAGGTGAGGGGGCAAAATGGCAGCCTTCTGATGTAGCAAGTGCTATGCAACGGGAAGAAATATCAGTATGGCACTCTAGGATTCACCCAAAACTCTATGGCTTTTATCACAGAGGTTTTTTGTTGTTGTTGAATTCTAGAGTGTCTTGCAATGCAGTGATTTCAATTCTGGTTATGTAGCTGGAAGCATCGGAAGATCACCATTGAGGTAAGTGCCACCCATGTTAGTCTCCCAAGGGTTGCCAGCCAATCCTATTACCAGGTGATCCTCCATTATATACGCTTTATCTGCCTATTTTCACACATTAAGCTTCTATTAAAGGGACAGGACTGTTTCCGTACAGGTTGTTGGAAACCCTAAGTTAAACACTGATCTGTCTTAAAATTAATTAGCCCTGATCAATCCGTAAGTACACTGAAACAGGTCAACAATTTTCTTTGGGGGAGGAAGAAGAATGGATTCAAATCCCACCACCATCTACTAAAAAGCAAAGCAGCATGATCACTATTTTATAACCCGTGCACTTAGTGTTGTCACCTTTTAAAACAGTCCCTCTAGCTGTTCTTTGGTCCTGTTCACACGAGGCAATTTGGCCCGGGAGCAGGACAGTTCGGGGGCGGATCAAACCAGCGCGATCACACCACAACATCTGGGAAGCATCGTGCTTCCGCCCCCGAACTGGACCTTCCCGGGAAAAAGCGCCTCAAGTTGACACCACCTACCTCGGTGGTTCAATGAGTAGACGAGCTGCAATCCGGGCGTCTGATCGCCGGCGCTCCCTTGCGCCAGCACAATCCCGGCCCGGAGCCGAACTGCGCATGCTCCGACATGCGCAGTTCGGCCGGCACCCGGTCTGAGCCATGTCTTCTCCCCGGCGTTTGTTCGCGCCGGGGAGAAATGGCGCCGCGGCCAGGGGATCCGTGGGATCCCGCCGCGTCGCCTCAACGTTGGCACGGCTTTTAAAAGCCGCGCCTCAAGAAGCTTTTTTCCTGTTGTGTGGCAGGGGCCTTTTAGTATCAATTTGATCTGCAGCAAGTTAATAAGTGATGTTATTTAGCTCCATACCATACCTTTTCAGCACATTAAACCTCTATTAGGCTGAAGGACAGGACATTTTTTCCTGACCAATTAGCAACCTCATGAGCATCGTAACTGTGGTAGAGCACATGAATGAATAGGGACCACTGTGTTCAACAAGCCAAAAATCTACCTCAATCAGGACAGATTTTTTTATATGGCCACAATTTTCATGTAAGAAATAACAAAAACATGAGCAGATAATCATATATGACAATCACATATCATGTGTCCAATTCACTGCATGGTCTGCAGACCCCAAAATATCCTGTGCATTCAGCAACTTCAGCATCAAATTTCCTGAGCAGTTAACTTTAGTGCTGATGATTTCTTAAGCCATGTGTAGAAACGGAGAATGCTTATATGAATGTGCGAAAAACAGAAGCAGGCCAAACATCAACTGCGGCCCCGGTCACACTAGGGGGAAAGGCACGGCTGAAGTGTGGCTTTTCAGAGCCGCAGCAAAAGAGAAGTGCTGCAGCGGGATCAGACAGATCCCCCGAGCTGCCGCGCATATGCTCCCCAGCGCTATCAGATGCGAGGAGGAAGCCATGGACAGGAGAGCGAGGCGAGGCTGATGTGCATGTGTGTGCCTGCACAGTTCGGCAGGGGACCTCGCATGCTGCGGGAGACGGGTGCATTGGCGATCACACGGTTGCCCATGCAGCGGATTTTCTGGTAGGTAGTAGTGTTTAGCAGGTTTATTTTAACTCCGCATCTTCGGCTGGAAGAAACGGATCAGGGACGGGTGCGCGCCGCTTCCCAGATGTTGCAGTG